GTATTTTATTTTTTGCACTACGACTTGGAATTATGGGTAACCACAAGCATAGATTAAAATCATAACTGTTATGTACAATGTGTTAGCGACAATGGATACCAAAAAGAGTTACTTAAGCAGATTCCAGAAAAGAAAAAGGAAAGAAGAGCTGCTGGAAGAACGAAAAAAATGGTCGATAAGCATCTCCCTGAAATGAGTTTTTGGAACTTGGGATGTCTGTAACATGGTGGTGCGCTGTCACTAATGGTTCCATTCAAGGTGTGCAGTCACTATTTTTCTATTTTCTATACTACTGAAAATTGCATAATTGTATCTTCTTGGCAGATTTATGGAACTGAACCTTTATCACATGTTGTACTTCATACGGGGCCCACCCAGATAATGCTGTTGTGTTGTTACACCATTGAAAACATGCCCATAGGATTGATATGTGATGAAATGACTTTATATTCCGATACGAGCACAGCTTTGATGCCTGCAGGGATGGTGATGTCATCAACCAAGATTAAAAATCAGTGCAAACAACAGTTTAACATGCAGAACTTATATAGCCCTGAAAAAGTAGATGATTTTGAGTCAATTTGGAGCTTAATGAGGCGATAGTCGACCTCTGGATGACCTAAAAAATAATCTTTAATACATCTGAAACAGCAGTAGCAGACATGATCTCTATTATTTTCATGTCGGTGGAGTGTCGGCTTCATATAGCTAAAGCTCCTCCTATTTGATGATACTGTTTGGGGTGTGTGAACACTACAGCTATACACGATCTGCCTAAACGCACTATTAGTCTGATTACTTCAGTTAACAACTAATCAGTTATTAAATTAGTTGAAAATTATTTTGATAAATGTATTAATCTGATTAATGGTTTCAGCCATACAGCTCAGTCTAGACATAATTCAGAACCTCACTGTAGTAAAAACACTGACTTTTTTTCGCTATATTATCTTTTCAGTGATGGTTTCTGCTCTGTTGACTGTTGTTGTTGTTTGTGACCCATGGCAGGTCTGCTTGGCCTCCTCCATCACAATCTAAGTGGGTGGGGTCCAGCTTTTGTTCGCCAGACACTTTTCAGGTCTGATAGGACTAACAAACCCGCTAGGTCTCTTTAGAACGCGCTGTTTCAGGCTGGTTTTATGTACAGCGGGGAGTTTGGTGCTTTTCTGGTCTCTACAAACAGGGGTGTGAAAAGTGTTTACCCCCTTCCTGGTTTCTTCTCTTTCATGTTTAGCACACTAAAGTGTTTCAGAACATCAAACACATCTTAATAGTAGTCAAACACAAGACTAGTAAGCATCTCTTATAGTGCCAGTAGTGTATGAGGACATTATATAGGGGAAAAACAAATACAGAATACTAAAAGGTTGGTATGTCAAAAAGGAGGCAAAGGAAAACTACTCAATTTGTCAAGAACATATTTTACCTGATTGTGATGTATTGTTTCATTTATTTTTACCTCTGAATTAAATCAGGTCTTCAATCAAAGGGCATGTAATTGTTTAACGTGTTAAACGTGTTAAGTGTTTTTTAGGATTTAGATAAATCCTGAAAGCTAGCCTGCCCTGGAGCAGGTTTGTTGTTAAGAGAACGTTACCATGGTGACTAGCCTTGCTAAGAAATAATCCAGCTTCTGTGGTGGTACAGGGCTATTAATATTAATATTTACTATTAATATTTTCAAGGCCAAACACTTTTCACACAAGGTCATGGAGGTTCATTTGCATTCTAGGTTTACTTGTGTCATCTAACGTCTAATAAAATCCAAGGTTCTTCAATTTTTTTGAATTGTTGAAGTGAAAAAAAACATGTAAAAGAATAATAAATCAGGAAGTAGGCCAACATTTTGTCACATGCCTCCTGTTGGTCAGTTCTGGTGTTAGCCTCCTGTTGGTCAGTTCTGATGTTAGCCTCCTGTTGGTCAGTTCTGGTGTTAGCCTCCTGTTGGTCAGTTCTGATGTTAGCCT